TACTATAATAACGGTAGTAGTATTATAACGTAGTATTAGTTGTTATACTACTACTATATAGTAGTTACTACTACTATACTCTCTCTCTCTCTCTCTCTCTCTCTCTCTATATATATATATATATATATATATATATATATATATATGGGAAAAGATCCTGTACGCTTATAGGCGTACAACTACAGTAAACACGAATGGCCCAGATTCAATTTGAGCCATTCTGTAGCCGATCTGACGATCAAGGATGTCCGGTAGTGTTTGAATTTTAATTTTATTTCTACAAATCCAAATCACTTGAAATTTTAGGCGTGTGTTCTTCAAAAAATATTTAAAAAAAATAAAATAAAATAAATTGACCAAAATGCCCCCGAAAAGTTTTGAGGGTATTTTGATCAATTTTTTCACGAATTATTTGTTTTATATTTTTATTAGGTGCACCTTGATAAGAAGAACACATGCCTAAAATTTCAAGTAATTTGGATTTGTAGAAAAAAAATAAAAATTTAAACACGAAATGAGGTTGTGATTGTTAGATCGGCCACAGAATAGCCTAAATTCAATCTGGGCCATTCGCATATGGGCGTACAATAGTGACTCCCTATATATATATATATATATATAAAACAACAAACAATCAAGTAAATGCATTTGTATATACCATCTAAACCAATAATTACAGAAGGAAATCTTTGATCTTTGTCTTTCTCACTCAACAATAAAGAAAGAAGAATCTGTCTCTCTCTCAAATGACAACTAAGATCGTAGAATTTCCAATGTCTTTAGTATCCAATAAAATTTCTATTGTTTCCCTCAGAAACAATGATAAGAATATCTTGGGCTAACTATGTAAATCTAAGCTCGTAATTAGAGTCAACTCATTTGCCAACTGAGTTAGCCATAATCATACAATATATCAAGGAACTAATATTATTATATAAATACTAAGTTAAGAATGATTCCAATGGATGATAAACTGGTTATCTGCGTCAGGAAATTTGTTTCCTAGACTTGTTTTATGAGGAAAAAAAGGGCAGAGGGTTGCAGGGGAGAAGAGAGAGTGAGAGAGAGCCGTTTGTTTCATTGACTCAACCTACAGAGAGAAAGAGAAGGTTGAGGGTTTGAGACTTTTGACTTTCAAGAGAGAAGAAGATACGATTGGTTCCCCCATATCTCGACATGTATGCACAATTTGACAATGAAGAGGAAAAGCAGGCAGAGATATCGATCGATAAAGAGATAGCTATGAAATCGTACCTTCTTTCTATACTCAGATCGAGTTTGACGAGAGAGATCGATATGTTTTTGGGTTCACGCACCCTCCTATTTCCTTCCTTTTCTCCCACGCTCTCTCGTTTCCTTCTTCTCCTTCTCTCTCTGTCTCAAACAAGCCATCCCTCCTTCCCCTCTTCCTTCTGCTCTCAGTCTCTCTCTCTCTCTCTCTCTCCTTCCTCTTCTCTCTCTCAAGCGGGCGTCGTTCTCCCAACCTTTTTTTCTGTTTTGCGGCTTTCTCTTTCTCTCTATTATGGGGAACTTTGAAGGACTACTAATTGAGCCCGTAACCCTCAAAATGTAACATTTAAGTGGGATGATCTCAGCCGCCCATTTAAATTGGATGGCTGGGAAGGAAGGGGAGCATAGTGGTTATATGCTGTAGGGGAAACATAGAAAGCTTTCCCCCAATATAAATAAAGCAACTTCTAGAGGCAGATGGCTTACAAATATTATTCCAAGGGACAACGCTTTGTAATGCAAATATAAAACATTACAAAATTTCTTGAGATCAAGCTGTAGGGCCTTTCAACTCACAATACCTTGTCAAGATGCAACATGATAGATCAAATCATTACAAGTAGCATGCAGACACTTTTTTAAGTATCCCATAACTGTCATTCAATGTCATATTTCTCCTCAGGGCCATTATCTTGATCTTTATTTTGTATAGCTGCAATTCCTTCTTATCAAGCAGGAAAATAATAATGCCCATGTATAATTATGTTGGAAGGTATCAAATACTTAATTATAACAAGCTTGGTATTAGAATTAAAATGGTTAGAAGTTCCAAATGACAGTGGAAGGCAAAGAACCACAACACTTTACCAAAATTAAAGACAAAAGAACAAAGAGAAAACAACAAAGAAAATGCGATTTCAATTTTCCACTCTGCACAATACGATAGGAAATTAATTCAGTGATGTCTATGTCTTTTCCTAGAGAGACAAAGGTGCAAAATAGGAAAGAAATTAGGGCTCTCAATGTCTCTTCCTAGCTATTGTCTCCAGAACTCCAACTCGAGAGTTACCTTGATCCTTGGGCTGCAAGGCCGAGCCATGTAGTCCACTAGTGGAAGATCCAGTCCCTTGGTGGCCACTTAAGGGAGCTTGGACAAGTGATGGAGCCTTCAGGTCACCATAGACAGATGTGATCCCTTCATGTCCGAGTTCTCCTTTGGCCAACTGTGTAGAGTTCTTGAAAGAAGGCCGGCCTAGCGTTTGTGGACTAAGTTTTTGATGCTTGAGTTCATATTGTAACGCGTTCTTCTCTGCTTCAAGTCGGATTATGCGGTTCCTAGCAAATTCCTGGATAAGCAAGATTTGCAAATGAAAAAGCCACTCGAACAAGTGAAAGTTTACCACACACCATCCAATTTCAATGGACAATCATAGTTCTAAGTACTATGGGATTTCAGTAGTCGTTGGAATATTATTAGGTTAATAGATTAGTATGATATGATCCATATGATCATGATAATGATACATTCATAAGAGTCGTCATCATCCAATCAATGATTGAACGGTGATTGATGGAGATTAGATCATACAAATGAATAATGAGAAGTTTAGTGGGACCCAATTTCTTTTCAACTTCCAACCTATTCATTGGGCGGTGATGGCTCCTATGACCATGTCTTAAGATGACCATACGGATCATACTATACGTTTTGAATAATAAAAGGAAAAGAGAGGAAACTCACCAGCTGTCTCTGGTTCGTACTATCTGTAGCTTTCATAGCTAACACCTCAGCTTGTGCCGCCTGTTTCTGAGAGTATGCATCCTTAGCCTCTGCCTGTGCCCTCAACACCTCTGCTTGTGTCGCCTCTGACTGACTCTGCAATGCCTTAACCTCAGCTTGTGCCCTCAAAGCCTCAGCTTGTGCTCCCAATAGCTGATATCGCATCTCTTTAACTGCTGCCTCAGCCCTTGAGGCCTCTATTCGTGCCTCCTCTCTCTTATGACATGCCTCCTTGGCCTCCTTTCTTGCCCTTGAGGCCTCCTTCAATGCCATTGAAGCCTCAGCTTGTGCTGCCCCAATCTTGCGTAATGCCTTCTTAACCTCCGCTTGCGCTCTCAAAGCCTCTGGTGTCCTAAGGTTTGCCTCTTTAACCTCGCAGTGTTCCTTAGAGGGCTGGCCCTTTGGCTCATCTATCTTACTAGTAGCCCCATTAGGCTCGGCTTGTGCCCTCAAGGCCTCGGCTGTTGCCACCTCTAGTTGAAGGCGTAGCTCCTTAACCTCAGCTTCTGCCGTTAATGCATTTGTGTGCTCCGCCTCTATTTGATGGTTGGCCTCCTCTAAACTTTGGCGCAAAGAGGCAATTTGGTCTAGAGCTTCATCCAAGGCTGCATTCTTCTCCGAGGCCCTCATTGTAACCCTCATAGCCATACCATCCAAGGCCACATCAAACATTTTAGCATCCTCTACCATAGAAGCAAAAGCATTGTCATTCGTTGCAGCCCATTCTGATGATGCAGCAATGGCGACTTTCCTCTTTGTTTTCCTTGTCTCCTGTGTTGTTTCCAAATCGACTTCATGCCTCTCGCTGCTAATAGTGGACTTCAGAGCGGTCACCCTCTCACTTAAAGAGCAGAGATCATTATCCAAACAATGAAAGGACATGCTTAAATCAGAGTCAATGGATTCATTGGAACCAACCCCATGAATTACATATGCTGAAGGCTGCAAATCACACAGAGTAATGAGTTAGCACAAGGGATAGTAATCTTTTAGCTTCATCATGTCTAGCTTAAGTCAATTAAAACAAAGACATGTATTTGCCAAAAGGACAAACACCAGTTACTAATGTCAAAGGAAATCAACATAGAGAAAAATTGTAAATAGTAGATATTAATAAACATAAAGAATCAACATAAAGCAGATGAAACAAGAAAAAATCCACTTATGAAAATAACACAGAGCGCAAGAATGGAAGACATAAATAACCAACTTGAGGTGGCTTTGGTTCCCCCTGTCCCTTCATGGCCACTGTTTCACCTGAGCAAATTGCACTTTGATTTGGATGTCCTTGCAAAGCATCTCTTACCAAACCATTTGAACCATGTGATGGTTCCCGTGACAAACAACTCTACAACCATTCAGAAATCAGGATGCTTATATGAAAACTGTTTTCATGACCAAATACCGAAAAAAGAAAAGAAGGAAACAAATGGACTTCATGAAAATGCTTTAACACCCAAAGAAAAACATGAAACTCACCGTAGATTATTACTGTTTCTTCTTTGGTGTTCCATATAAAGAAACTCCATAAAAAACCAATTTCATGGCTACTCACACGAATGAAAATGAATTTTCCAACAGTAGTGCAGTTAAACTACTGAGAAACTAACTATGCAACGATATCTACCATACGAAAACCAAATTTATGGTTTTTCTAAAAATAATGAAGATGAATTTCATAATTGTTTACAATAATTATTAAACCAAATTCATGGTTGAATGGAAATGCAGATAATAAAAGAAGCCACATTGATTAGAACAGTAAACGAAATACAAAGCTCATCATTCACCAAACTAAAACCCATATTCATTTTAGTTTTCAGCGGCCATGAAATTTACAATGCTAAAAATCAAAATAGAACAAACATAAATAAACATAAAACACCTTCTATATCAACAAAATCAGCAAAGTTACAAAAGAAGAGAGCCACTGCAACAAATTACAAAACCTACAAAACCATAGACAGAGAAACGAAAACAAATAGAACAATCGAAAGAAAATGCTTCAAAATTAAAAAATAAAAATCAGAAAAACAACGGGATCTTTTTTAAATGAGGCTTCTTATTATATAAATAGGCAGAGCATGTCGACAAAATTATCGGTCATTTTAGCAAAAATAATCCATGGAAAAAATACAGTGGAACTTTCAATAGCATATAAAACACCCAACAAAACACAAGAGAATAAAAGACCTGATTTTTATAGCTGCTCTCTTTAATCAAGGTGTGCTTCAAGGAATCTGGATTTTTAGGGCTTCCATAACTCTCTTTCTTCTTCTTCTTCTTCCTTTCATCTCCATTTCCCATATCTACTACTGGTCTCAAACCCTAAATTTTGAACTGATCCCGATCTTTAAGACTTGACACTGTTAAAACTTGACACGATTTATATCGAAATTCCCTTGATCTCTCTCACTGAAGCCCTAGTTTCTAAACCCATTTCCCCATTTTCATTAAAACGGAGCTCCATGATTTACCTTGGGGAAATTTACACAAATGATCGTCTGAGAAAAAGAAAGCCAAAAAACATATGTTACATGGAATGTCCATTTGTGTGAGCGTTTAATATATGAACTTTGAAAAGATATATGTACAAGTTTTTCGTGGAAAAGTATATTTACACGAAAATTGTCTCATACGGGCTGCACTGCATCACTACTTATGCAAGCATCCATTTATTTAAAATGGATGCAAGTGTTTCATATAAAAACAATAGAAACTAACGGTCTCAATGTTTTTTTTTTAAAATTATTATTTCTAATTTTTATTTTTTCATATCATGATAATCAAGTTAAAAAATCCATCACAAAAATAGATTTATTAAAAAACTCACATTTCAACATATACAGGCTTCACCGTATAGAAACCGGGTCCTTATTTATACATCCCCTTAATTACTGTCATTAAAAAAACTCTTCTTAATTTTTGTTTATTACGTGTATTTTTTTTTTCATCATTTTTCGTTTTATTCTTAATTTACCATAACTTTGGATCTTCTTTGAATTTCCGCTTTGGATTTTGAAGGTATAAGTAAGGCTTTACTATTTCTTTCTTTTTTTCACAAATATAGCACCACTGCATTTTATTTTTTTAAATCCTAAGTCAAGTGCCTTTATAAATTGGGATTTTAAAGACCTCAAGTGTGGCTCAATTTCTATTGTTTATTTTGCTAAAGTATCAAGATATTCAATATTTGGAGTCATAAATAACTTTTTTATAGAACAAAATAGAACATGATTTCGGATCACCAAAATCCAAAGTCATAAAATCCCTTTCTAACTTCATATCTTGAACACCCAAAAAGTGATTGTAGATTAAGAATAACATGAAAAAAACAAAAAAAAAAAAGATAAATAAAAAGGTATGCAAGTAATAGACAAAAATTAGGGAGGGTCTTTTTAATAAAGTTATAAATACATAAATTTCTTTTTTTCATTTTGTGTGTATGCAAATCTTTTTTTTAGAATTTCTCATCCATATTATCAGACAAATTGTCTATTTTTTTTTTGTCAATCAGAGTTTTTATCGAGAAAAAGATAGTGCATATCATTAGAGACAATTATCACTAATTGCATCAAAAAATCATGACAAAAGATCACAAGTACCACAAATAATAAAAAAATTGAGTTTACTTTTTGATAAGCAAATATATTTTTATCGAACAATGTAAATACTAAAACAACTATCTATGTACATTCCGTGTGATGATATAACGATAAGATTTTAGTCCTATCTTTAAAAGCTATTTATCTTAGACAAGGGCCAAACAATCCCTCAACACTCATCTGGACATACTCCAATCTCATCTAGAGATAACCCACTAAACTTTTTTCGCCCTAGGTATCTTAAGTTTTTCCAAACCCAATTGGCCGAACACATCGAATCTAATCCGAGTATAAACAAATCACATTTGTGTAATATGATCTACAAGATGACCACTCTCACTAAGTTATACTCATACAAGCTCTCATAATGTTTTTAAATACCACATAAACCCCACGGTTGCTGTCGAAAGAGATTCCAAACCCACCATTTTACCCTTGAGGCTTGCTCATATTTTTTATGAAATTTCGAACAGCATATTCGTATCTCTTGGACACATATTTCGAACAGCATATTAGTATCTCTTGGACACATATTTGGTGGGAGGCCAAATCTGTAGCTGATGCCCTCGCTAAGGAGGGTTAACATCGTTGGCTAAGGGAAGGGCGCATTGACACGATTGGGCCACGTGGCTTCCTTGATACATTTGTCATTTCAGTAGATATATAGAATTTTTGTTACTAGTTCACTATCTTGGAAATCTTTGTATACTGCCCCCATTGATGGGTTTGTACATGTTCTTTTCTCCTTAATACAAAGTCAAGTTCTCTCAAGGAAAAAAAGAAAAAAAAAAAAAACGTGTTGGGCTGGTTTGACCCCATCGGGCCAGCCCGAGCCCAGCCTTGGTCTCGCCTGGCTGGTCAGGGGCAAAATAAAAAACAAAAAAGCAAAAGAAAAAGAAAAAACAAAAGAAAATAAAGGGCTGAGGCGGGCTGGCCCTCAGGCCATAGTTTGTGGCTCAGGCCATACTTTTCTAGGGCCGGGCCGCCCGACCCATTGCCAGCCCTATGTACAATATATGATTGACATACGAAATTCGGCAAAACTGTCAACGAAATGGGGAAATATGCCACCTTCAAGCAAGATGGTACTTTGGACTGTGTCATGTCATAACCGAAGGCTACATCCACCATCTTCTCCTGCTAATGGATGGTCGAAAGTTGAATCGAATATTAGACTTACCTGGTTCAACGTGTCTGTCTACATGCAATGCAATTCAATCTCCAACCAACCAAAAAAAGATGTGGTTAATCTTCTCCTTGTCTCCTTGTCTCTTCCCAAAGAAAGAGGACTCAAAACCGATATATTCTACTTGTTCATCCTCGAAGTCACCTTGATCCTCCTGCAATTTAGGATCTGATTCTGGTAAAATGGCAATGAAGGGACTAAAACCTTTGGTAAAATGACAATGAAGGGACTAAAACCTTGGTTTCACTCGGAAGATGAAACCCTTTCCTTAGTCGTATTCGGTCGTGAGTGTAGTATGCCTTGATCTATCCCAGACATTGAAATAGTCTGACCTCTTGAATTGATATTCATTCTATCCCTTGAGCAATCAAGAGTACAATGTAATGCTAAGATCTCGTCCTTGAGTTGGCCAATAAGGGTGAGGTGGTCTATCCAACTCACCCACGTTGCCTGGCTCTTGGCATTCTCCTGCACAAAAATATATAGAGAGAGGGGGGGATTTCTCAAGTTGGTAAGGTAGTTCAATGCCAAATTTTAAGAAGTTCATCTGATTTTATTCGAGCAGCCTGCCTCAAGCCAAGTACTGGCCATCTTGAAAATAGAAGCTTGACTTTTCAGTGGTTTACCTGTTTCAATCCTTGAATTATACATGCGTAAAATTATCTATCAAATAAGGGAAACTATCCTACAACCTTTAAGATCATGTTAACTAGGTGGGCACAAGTTCATCACCATTCCATCAATTGGTTCAACAGTGATGGAGGGTGAGACAAGCAACTAAACTAGTGACCTATCTTGTGGGTACCAATTGCCTCCATCACAGCACAAAACGGTATGGAACTGTGATGGCCCTTAATATCAAATACTACCATGATCAAATAAGTTATAGCATACTTCCTTCGGAAATTGTAGAATGCAATGAATAAATTTTGGAAAATTGCGTAAAACCCCCCAAACCAAATATGGATTTTCTAGACATTTTACCCCAGCCCAACTTTTTCTAACATATTTTTCCCCAAAACAAACGTTTTTAGCTAATACCCCCAATACACACTTTTTTTTGACAAAAATACCGAGCGGTCCAACGTTTAAAAGAGGCGGTCTCTCGTTTAAAAGAAGAGACGGCCCGATCTGGCATCTTGAAAGGGCAGTCCGGCATTTTAAAGTGGGGGTACGGAAGTGACTAGTCTGGCATTGTACAAGTGCGGTCCGGCGTTTCCTTTCCAAAAATGATTTGTTAAGGCCGAGAAGGGTATTTTCTCAAAAAAAATGAATTTTTTATATTGTATTAACTAAAAAAATTTGGTTTTGGCAAAAATATGTTAGGAAAAATTAGGCTGGGGTAAAGTGCCTAGGAAGTCTATATTTGGGGGTTTTAAGCAAATTTTCCCATAAATTTTCATATCCTTTTATTACTCTTTTCTTATTTTTCACCCCACATGAATAAACCAACAAAAGAATATGAAAAAGATTTTGGCTCAAGTGATATACCCAGTTCCCCAACCCCGATTGTTTTTTATAATATCCCACTTTCACCTCAATTTCGACTGTGCATAAATAGCCTAAATGGTAAGAAAATGAGTGAAAGAAGACTCGCAAGCTCCCTTGCAAGTCTATTAACCTCATTTTTTGCCCTCAATGCCTCCTCTAGCGCAGCTTCCATCTGACAATGAGCCTCCATGACCTCAGCCCGTGCCTTCCATACTTCTGCTTGTGCCTCTTCTCTCTCACTTGCGCTTTCTTAACCTTGTCCTGTGCCTTCAAGGTCTCTGCTTGCACTGCCTCTATCTCACATTTTGCCTCCTCAATCTTGCTTTGCGCCATCAAGGGCCTCCATCTCCTCTAGTTGACTCTGTGCCTCTTTGACCTTGGCTCGAGCCCTCAGGGCATCAGCTCGTGCCACTTCTAAATGTGAGCGCAGCTCGTTGACCTCAGCTTTTGCCCTCAAAGCCTCTATTTGTGTTGCCTTTAAACGATGGTGAGCCCCCTCAACCTCGAATTGAGCCCCTGTTGCCCCCACTTGCGCCGCCTCTTCTAGCTTCTTAACCTTGGCTTGTGCCCTTGATGCCTCTTCTTGAGCTGCCTCAATCATAAGACCCATCTTCTTAACCTTGGATTTTACCTTCAATGCCTCTTCCCGAGCCACATCTATCAGCATGTCCATTGCCTTAACCTTGGCATGTGCTCTTGATGCCTCCTCTTGGGATGCCTCGATTTGACAGTAAGATTCTTCAACCTTCTCGTGAGCCTTCAAGGACTCAGTTTGTGCCTCCTCTAAATGAAAACGTAGTTCCTCTACCTCTGCCCGTGCCCTGGATGCCACTTCTTGTGCCTTTTCTAAGTTAATGCGTAGCTCCATAACCTCAGATTGGGCCCTTGAGTCCTCGACTAATGCAACCTCTTCTCATGATTTGCCTCCTTAGCCTCGGCTTGCACCCTCAATGCCTCTGCTTGCTCCCTCAAGGCCTCTGCTTGCTCCACCTCTATCCTACTACGGTGCATGTCTTCGAATTTCTCTCCTACTACGGTGCATGTCTTCGAATTTCTCCCGAATCCAAGAGGCCTCTGCTCGTGATGCCATTTCCTGAAAGTCGGCTTCCTTAGCCTCCTTGTGTGCCCGCAATGCCTCTGATCTCACCATATCTATCTCACACTCAGCCTTCTTCAAAAACTTGAGGAAAGTAGTGGCATGCTTTTGAGATGCTTCTAAGGCAGCCTCCTTCTCTTTGACCCACTTTCTCACACCCGCAATGCATCAGTCATTGTGACCTTTGCTTCCAACTTGGCAATGAGCGCGTCACTCTTGGCATTCTCTTCAATTAATGCGTCCCTCTTTGTAGCATCCATACTGTCTGCCCTCTTCATATCCTCGTCATGTCTCTTGCATGACTCCATTTCAATTATTATCTGCCGTAGTTGACAGTAATTGTCATGAGACTTTTTGAAGCAACAAATGAGTGTGTCTATACAGTTCCATCTTCCATATGGCCATGTCGGGTGGATATCAATCTGGAAGCATCTGACGCCTGCAAATGAGAGCAGGAGAATAATAAACAGAAAAGGAATAATAATGTGAGTAACAAGGAGAAATAACCTTTAAGCATTAAGCTGGGTTAGGTCAGTTACAATGAGGTCCTTTAATTCGCAAAAACACAGACAGTTACTAATATCATGTGAAATTGACATAAGGGTATGTATCCAATGGACTATGGATAACCATGGTCCATTGTGCGCATGTCCATCTCATGAAATGATGGGAAGTGGTGGAGAGAGTGAGTGGGGCCACCAAGGCAATTTAGATCCTGTTCTTCTCCCTCCGTCCCTCTCTCTCTCTCTCTCTCTCTCTCTCTTCTTCTTCTTCTCTCTCTCTCTCCTCTCTCTCTCTCTACTCTCTCTCTACTACTACTACTACTCTACGTCGTACCGTACGTACGT